CTCAGGGAGTCGACCCTGCAGAATATGGCTGTCGCATTATTGTTTAATATTTAATATGCAAATTTACATGATATGAATCATGTTGACATGAATCATGCATAGAAAATCATAGAATCATATATGAATCATATATGAATCATATATGAATCAATGAATCCACTGCTCTGGGAGCTCCCATCTCTGTCTTCCGACCTCGCCTTTCTCTTCGGCAGCAGACATATTGGATCTTCGTTTGTTCGGAGAATCGGGTGCAGCGCAGAGTTCAAGGTGAGGAACCATGGAGAACCCTTCTGAAAAGGCGATAGGCGATAGAGTCGATAGAGATGGACAGGTTGAAAGACATGGGGAGCTGATAGGAACAAGGTCCTGCGTGAGACCCAATGCCGCAATGCCATAAAATATCTTGAGCTCAACTGATCCTCGCAGCCTTCTAGACAATATGCTCGTCCTTGGCTTGTCCTGCACGGGTTTCAACGGCACAGAACCCACCACTATGTTGGTTCCTTCCTTGAACAGTAACATCTTTTGAGAGCCTGCAAAAATCAGCGTTCCTGTCTTCTACAGAACCTGTTTGAGAAAATAAATGTGACGTTATATAGTCACCATTAGTCCGCATCTGTTTGACATCAGCTTCCAGGTTCAGTCCGACCAGTCCTGCTTTAGTTTTGGTTCAGGCCGGCGAGACCAGACATAGACCCCCAAGGCACCAGCAGCCAGGAGAACCTGACTGATACTCCAGCTCCGATTGGGGTCTCCAGTTCGGGACGGGTGAAGGGATACATTTGGGATGTGGCCTTGTCTCATGAGGAGCAAAGGAGCATTCCAAAATGGCTGTTGAGTACGGAAGATGATCACATAAACCATGCGATTCAAAAGAGACAGCCTCTTGGGTGAAAGGGATCAGTCCTTCAGTGAGTTGTTCAAAGCTAAAGCCATTGGCAAGAAACTCCACCTGCAGCTATGGTCCAGCCCGGCATCTGTGTGACCTTCCGGCTGTCAGGTTGTGTTCCAGACATATCCAACTGCAAACACGTGCAAGAAACAAAATAAACAATTCGTTGACCCGAAATCCTGCCCAAGAATAGATTTCATTGCAAAACCCAGCAGGCCTTCTCTTCTTTTGGCTTCCCTTCATCTTTGCCCTCTCCCTGATCTTTGTGTTCCTTGTCTTTCCTGTCTGCGCCATCTTCATCCTCGCCCTCCTCCTCGTCCGTCTTTTCAGTCACCTCCCTGACCTCTCTGACCTCCGTCTTCACAGTGTGCACTTTTGCTGCGCCAGGTGCGACAGAAGGCACAGTGGTTACAGCTAGCGCAGTGACCGCAGGTCCTGTGGGCGCTGTGGTGGGCGCTATGGTGGGCGCTGCAGGCGCTGCCGGCGCTGCGGACGCTACCGGACCTGCGGTTGGCGCAGCATTGCCTGGGATGAGAGGTACTTGCCGCTGTCGACCGTGCGCCTCAGCTTTGAAATTCTGCAAAATGCTCTGAAAGATAAAATTTTGATTGAGTTGCTCATTTGAAAAATAAAAACATACCACATCGAGATTTCTGTACTTCCAAGATCTTCCAAGACTCCATGACGCACTCCTTGAAAACTTGCAAGACAAATGCACAAGATCTGCAGCAAAGCTGCGGAGATTCTCAACCTGCCGTCTTGGAGTGATTCACCTGAGACTGGAAGGCCATGCCCAGTCATGGCTTGGCTCAAAAGTTCGTTGTTCAATGTGCCAAAACAAATCGGCTGAGATCAGCTAAGATCAGCTGAGATGAGTTGAGGTCTGTGCGCCGGATGAGCCTCGTATCCGTTCCCTGGGTTAACGATTCAACAAGCAGCCTGCTTCTCTGAAGAGAGGTCTATGATCTCTCAAAAATATGACGTCAAAAACAAAAAAAAACACTGTATCCGAACAAAATGAAAAGGACCCCATGATGGCCCACACCATGGAATGATGGAAAGAGGATTTGAAAGGGAGGCGTGCAGTCCTTCACAGCGCCCGGTGAAGAATGAGCAAAGAAAGTAAAGAAATTTAACATCGCTGAGAGCTCATGAATGTCATGGCACAAGGCACAGAATATGCAGACTCTCAAAACGGAGCTCAAGCATTGAAAACGAACAGTGCAAATGCCACTTCACACTGGAAACAAACAAGCCATCTTGCAGCATAACTTTCCAGCCATGAATTGTTCAAGAGAAGTGCAGCTTCAGCCAAGGCGCTCCGGCATGTGTGAAGTCACACAGAGACAGCAGCAAGGAGACAAATGTCACAGCTCTCAAACCCGTCGCTGCCATTATCCACTTGGCATCGCTGGGCGGGAAGATATCGATACTCACATAAGATGAAGATGTTGTGTCTCACAGAAATGTATTTCACTGCATTCACGTCCTATCGGAAGGCATTAGTTTCAAGCTAGAGGGTAGTCATGTCAAATGATTAAGCTGGAGTTAAGTCATTGAGGATTGTGTCTCATGTGATAGAATGACGTTCAAAAACGGCTCCAATTGAAAAGAACCCCGTCATCACATCATAACCTTCGCAGGCGCGAAGGAAAGACCTGCTACAGACTGGTGCAAATGGCAGCGGAATCATTTGCAATAGAAGCCCTTGCGCTGAAATGTCCTGACAGTTCAAACAGTTCTGCAAGTTTTCTTTGTTTTTAGCACTGGTTTCTTCCTCATGAGGCAGCCATGGTGTTGTTATCTACATGTATATTAAATATGTACATATACAGTATATACATATATATATATATATATGCATCTTTATCTGCTGTTTCTTTCCAAAGGAGTGAATACAGATGAATATAGAACGCCCTTGGCGCCAGACCAGGAGAAAAGGACTTCCTGTATCCACTACGCCACGGAAGAGTCGCCCACCTGAGACAGGATACCCTCACCCCATCTCACCTCTGCGAGCACTTGCCCTGTAAGAAATGCTACACAGCGAGTATGGAGAGGATGCGGGCATTGTGCTATGAGATCTATGAGACATGAAGCATATCCATTCTATTCGACTTTTGGCCGATGAAGTGTGCAAATTTCACTTCTGGGTTTCATCCTACACCAGCCTACTGGACCTACTGATTGGTTTATAATGGTTGATACGGATCTCCCACCCCGATATAATATGTGATAATAACATACAACGCAACGATCATGATGACAGTAACGCTTGTTTTGACACGCTAGCTGCTAGCCTCCAGCAGAACTGTCACCTGTAAGGAGAGAGGCTTTGTAGTGAGGAGATTTGCCCAATAAGCAACTCAATGCTCACGCACCGTTGGGCACTCTGCGGCCATTCAGGCACCTTGGCACATTATAAAATCGAATTACAGACTCTCAGAGAGTCATTTCAGGATCCTGACTGAACGCTGCGGCTTTGGAAAAAATGCTACTTGTACCCACAGCTCTCCGCCGGCTCCTGTTGGAAAACGACTGGACAATTAGGCCTTGCCTGACGTAGCTTCACTCAGGCTTGTTTTTGTCATTCTCAAAGTGGCTGAAGAAAAGATGGTGTGGGTTCAATCATGTTTTCTTGGGCATGACTTGAGAGAAAGGCATCTGTCAGTGGTGCAAAGCCAGTGAGATCGCTGCAGCCTGAGTCCTGAACGACTTCAGCCATATGTTGGTCAGAAAAGGGGAGAAGAGGATTTATTGCAAATATATAGTAAACACATGTAAACACTCTACAAGTACAAGTGTATGTCTGGTTATTTAGACATACATCTTATATTTCAAATGCACGTGCAAAACGATGCTTGCACGCTTGCATGGGACTAAACCTTCGTGTCAGTGAGATTCCTTGAAAGATTGTGAATTGGAGGTTAAGACGGTTAAGATGTTTCAAATATGTTCAAATCACCTCAAGTGGCAGACTTGCACAGGAGATCACAAGAGCTTCAAAGCGTTCTTTTCCGACTTGCATGTGGTTGCAGTCCATCTGACTTCGTACTGGACTCAGGGCTGACGCCACGCAGATAGTATACAGTTGAGATACGTTGAGATACCACTGTCAGAGATTCACAGTTGCAAATGCCCGAGCTGTCATTTTTGCATATCCATCTCAACAGAATTTCAACAGCCTATGGGACACCAAACAATCAGATCATTGCGCTGAAATACTACAATTCCATGTAGGCGAAATGCTGACATCAACATCTCAAAATCAGAATCTCTGGAATGATATCCCGCTGAGAAAAATCCTAATTTTCCAGCAACATCTCTTTCAGCAAGTCAGGCTGTGACCGCCACATCTTTCTGAGTTTCTGCTTTATTACGCAGCTCCTGGGATCAGGACCAGACAAACACAGCACTAAGAAGCTAAGTAGGCCTCAAGCTGGCAAACCCTGCAGCAAGAGAGTCGAGCCCCGAAAGAATTCCACACCATCTTTGGCAGCTTAAGAATCTTGCAAATGTTGTGACAAGCAGCAGTAGCACCACCACCGAGACAGCGCCAGCTAGAGCCCAAAACTCCACATCAGGAGCCACCTGTCACTTCGATTTGAATCTTAGCTGCGCATACTGCAGCATACCAAATAAAGACAATCCAAATCTATGAAGATCCTGCAAGTATTTGCCAGTCCACGACTATGTCATACTATATGTACTATGTCCAAACACTTCTCTTCAAACTCTACAAGGATTCTACCAGTACCTGGGACGCCCGTTGCCAAACAACTGACTTTTTTCAGTGAAAAACACATTGTCCACCTTCCATTGGGCCATGATGCCCTTGGACAACTTCCAATGGGAGGCTCCATCCTTGCAACGCTTGGTCGCGGAGTGCTTGCTGCAAAAGCGTTGGGCCCCTCTGGGCCGATTCAGGGCCCTTATGCCCAGTTTGAGTTGCAACATTGTTTTCTAGTTTTTGTTGATTTGTGCGTGTTTTTGCGATGTTTCACCACATTTTCGTGGAAAGTGAAATGAACTGCGTGCATTTGCTGAAAAGTTGTCGTTGGCTTTGTCTGATCCTTTAGGCCCGCTAATTTTAATTTGTTGTGTTTACAGTCACATCACGTTACACCATAAAAAGTAAACTTGTTACACTGATTCGGTCCGGGTGCCCTCCTGCTCTGTATCTTAATAGTCGGCTCTGCCGAAAATCTTTGCAGTGTCGAAGTGTCAGAACCCCTCGCAGTTGGCTTTAATGCAAAAATCCGTGGCATTTAGAAAAGATACTGTATATACGTGCAAAGGCGGCAAAGAAGTTTCAATGATTTGCCTTAAATTGCATTTGAAGTTTCAGTGATTTGGAAAGCCAGCCTCCCCCACACCCCTTGAAACAACCAGGCTCAACAACTGCTCGAACGGCATCTGGAGCATAGCCTGACAACTCCACAAATGAAATTGAAAAACACTCTATACCATGTCCAGAGGCAGGCAGAATAGGCAAATGAGCCAAATACCGTACTTTGTCTAGGTGTGTCTAGGTCCTATTTGACTCTCACGAAAGACTAAAGTGCAGAATTACGAATTTGTAGCCTGACGCCATACATAGATGTCAAAAATATGTTGGCATCTATGTTGAATCTTACCCCCATGAATGGCTTTCTGTCTTGAAGCTTTCTATCTTGAACAGCTTTCTGTCTGTCAGCTTACACACATTCATTGAACTCAAGATGGGGATCCAAATAGCTCAAATTTTGGATCCCATAATTTCTTTTGGTGCATTTCGGGGTTCCCAAGAGTACGGTCTCATTCACGTGGAAGCACAACACTAAATAAGAAAGTATTGTGGAAGTATGTGGAAGTTATAGGAAGCATTGGGATGTAAAATTAACATGAACTTCAGAGGGCTTAAAAATGGAGCGAACCTTTTCTTCTTCTGACTCCGAATCACTTCCATGCTGACCTGAATTCGCTGGAATTGAATTCTTGTCAACCACATCCTTTCTCAAACTCTCTGCCTAGTGAGTTTGTGCGACTTAGAAAACCGGGTCTTTTATCTCATCCTTAGCAGCTATTTCTGAAGGTTGACCAGGGTGTCTTTTGCCCTATCAACTCGCAACACAACAACTTCATCTTACCCTGCCACTTGGAGTCCCCAACTTGTCCGTTAGGTTTCAATCAAGTATATCCAATACATTATCCAATGTTGCATTGCAACTCGGAAGAGTTGACAAACCGACACGTCCAACACAATATCTATGCAATGCATTCGAGATGCGGTAGCCAAGTACAAGTGACTCTGCCTGCAAGAGGCTTCTGATCCTGAGAGGACCATCGAGGACCATCGAGGACCATCTGGGACCGCTGAACTGCGGTGTTGGCCATGAGAGATTAATGCGTTTGTGTCGTTTTTTGGGAATGGAGGCAATAGAGCATGAAGTTTCATGCATATTTGGAGTGTCGACAAGAAGGATACAACAATCAAAGATACAATGACGAAAAGCAGCCATTGACTTCTTTTCTGGACGCGAAGACTCCGCGAGAGCTCACGAGGGAGTGTTTGCAAGCCCTGTGTTTTCATCCTGTTTTTCATCCTTGTTCCATTTAGTTGTTAAAATTCAGCCAAGAGGAAAGCAGCTCAGCCTGCAATAGAATTGTTATCCAAGCTCTAATAATCTTTGAGCAGTTTGAGTCCCCGAGAAGCCCTTTCGTGCGCATGGCTCACCAGAAACAGAAGAGTCTGGATAAGTCAGATATAAGTATAAGATAGTGTAAGCCTTCCCCACACGAACTGGCCAAAAAGACTTCCAAGATCTTCCAAGCAAAGTCACACGGCAAAGAACATTGATCTCAAAGGCCTTGGAATCAAAACGTGGTTGAGTCTTGGTGAGGCACATAGGAAGATCAGTTTGACTTTCAAGGGACCCACAATCGCAGTGTGCTGCTAATGCTTGCTACGCATGCGGAACTTTGGCTCCAATACCGCTGCAGGTAGCCTTTGGGCGTCAAAACCCCATGCATTGATTCCTAGATGAGTTCGACAGTTCGACAGTTCGACGTGTGAAAGAATCTCAGACGGGACGACGGGACGATGGGACGATGGGACGATGCTGCCAATTTGACCAATCCTAGTCTTGCTGCCACTGTCTTTCAAATTGTGTCCCCCGCTGCCATCTTTCAACAAGGGGCATAAAATGAGCTGCGTGGGACTTTGACCTCACGCTGCGATTCCAAGAAGTGCAGTCAGGCGACGCTGTGTGAGAGGAGCCGGTAACTTTAGCTCAACTACATGGTGACCACGAAGATGTACTATATGTAGAAAAGGCTTCGATACAATCAACTACCTCAAAGTGTGAAACAATCCTGACCCGTACCAGCAGCATCCACATCAAACTCCTGGACGTTTAGGAACAGCCGAAGGACAGCTGGCGGTCCCTCAGTTCATTGAAAGGTGCCGCTAGCAAGCACGCGCCGGCCACTGCACCAAAAAGTACCTAGCACAATGCTGTACGTTGCCTGTGAAACATAAAAAACATAAAAGAGGATGAAAAAGGCATCCCAGAACTGTGATTTGATTTGACAGGATGCCGGGTCAGTTGAAGGACTCTGAAGGTCCTTGCTTCTCCACGCCGCCATTTTGGCAACTGCAAACGGCACATTGGAATCCAACTCAGATGTGCGCACCTCTGGCGACGACGCTGTTAGGCGATGGGCCCTACTGCTGTAGTGTGCGATGATCATTGCCTGGGCAGCGATCTTTGAGCTACAACAGCTAGTACTCGCAGTCATGACCCATGAGTCTTACATGAGTCTTACAAGAGTCTTACATGAGTCTTAGTCGTGTATGTAACACATGTAAGTCTTACATGTACGTGAATTTTTCGCTAAGTCTGTCGCAACGTCCCATCAGGACTCTGGACATTGCGAAGCACCAACTCTTTCTTCCGAAGGTGTAGGTGTTAAGTCGTTTTGGGTGTGCTCCGTTGAGAACCCCAGATTTTGATGCTTGTCGGTGTAGAAATGTGTCAATGCAATAGTATCCAAGAGTGGCCAAGCATATTGATAATTGTTTTTTATTTTTTTATATGATGGTTTTTGGATAGTCGTGGGACGTGGCTTCAAATAGTGCAGCTGTAAGCACTGGCAGGGCCGCACGGCCCAGAGAGTAGGCAATATCGCGGGCCATGGTTGGCAGAATGGCCTGATTCAAAAAGATCAGAAAGTCATGGGATTTCCACAGGAAAAATTTAGAAATGCCGTCTGAGATCCCTGTGCACCATCTAGAACTTAAAATCCTTGAAACCTCATTCTTTCAGCCAATCAATTCTTTTGAGGGATAGTGAGGGACAAGACAAGATGTTATGACAGGAACAAGACGCCTATGCACAGTATGTAAATATTCTCAACCAAATGGGTTTCCCACATCTTCTTGCAGCTCCACTGTGGACCTATACCGTACCATGTGCCAATTTGGGGCCTTGAAAGGCGAGGAAGCCATTGCCTGGTTCGACACCTTGGCTCGGAGTGGCCCAGATTTGAACCAGGAGCAAATGGCAACATTGCTCGGTGATTGGAAATTGATATCCACTTGTGCAAACTGATTTTGGCGTCACCCACACATCACTCACCTCACACGAGAAAGCAGTTTTGCGATGTTCTGCGGAGAACTGGGCACACAGGCTCCCAAGCGAAAGTTGGTAAAGGGCAAGGTCAAAACTGCAAACAGCAGCCCTGCCACAGCAGCCCGTGTGTAGAGCCCGAAAGTCCTAGGCCAGCGGGGCTTCGGCCATGACTGCATGGCAGGCTCAACGAGAGCTATGCAAACTACACTGCATGGAGTGCTATCCAAAATGACACAAAATGCAAACGAATCAAACTTCTCGCACACTTGTGCTCTACTTACTTGTATGCTTGTCACCAAGGTGCAAAAACTTCGTGGAGAGAATCCAAACAAGCAGGGGCTCAAAGATCGGGAACTTGATCATCTGGACAAGAAAGCCTTAGCTCTTGTGTTCCCCAAACTGGACACTCTCCGCTCACGATAGATTGGAAGACAACAGTCCACTCTCGTACTTACTTGAAGAATAAGGACTCGCATGGACTCGCAAAGCTGATATCATTCATGCGAAGATAGGATTTAAAAGTGTAAACGTTTAAACCAGTTTTCCTGGAGACATGTCAAATCACGATCTGTTCACGGTTTTGAAAAAATTGACTGCCACAAACTTCACAAAGCAGCCAATTTCGAAGCGACAGCGCCAGGACTGGCCAGGTCCATAGTACAGGCGCCGTCCAAGGATGCGGTCCTGTCAGGATTTGAACCACTTTAAACCACCCATCCACGCGCCAAACCTATTGCAGTCTGCATACTTCACTTGTATCCAGATGTATCCAGGTATTCCAAAAAACTATGAAAATATATGAAAATCATGGCGGGACTTGCAAATGTCCTCTTGAATCAGCCAATCGCATGCAAGTTGACGAAAAACAAGGTGGGCCAGAGAACCCAAAAGCAAGACGGCACACAGCACGATTTTTTTGAAAATCTTGTGGTGCGTGCTCTGCACGAAATCGACGTAAGATCTTTACTGAAACATCGTGCGCGCTGATGGTATCAGGGGCCGCAATTCACCACAGCATGCTGTATCAGCTACGTCTACATTCTTCTAGTCGCTATTTCTGCTAATGTAATTAACTCTATCCCATCGTTTTAGCCGCTATAATTCCTGCGTTCTCGTTTAGTTTGCTTCGCCGCAGAGGGAGCGAGGACGAAGCGTCGACGGACAGAACACCGTGCAAAATGAAAACTAAACGACGGAGGGAGCTGACCAAAAGAGCATGAAAACGAAGATATGAAGGTGATAGGTGGTGAATGATAGTGAAAAATGAGACATGATGAAAAATGGGTAAAGACTTCTCTGTACAAAAGATTCTTTGCATAAATGCTTCTGTATGTAAAAGCTCCTCTGTGTTAAGATTTTGTTTGTGTAAAACTTCTGTGTGCAAAAGCTTCTCTGTGTAAAAGACTTCTCTGTGTCAAAGCCTCTGAGTGTACAAGCTTCTCTGTGTAAAAGTTCCTCTGGGTAAAAGCTCCTCGGTGAAAAAGCTGCTCTGTGTAAAAGGCTTCTCTGTGTAAAAGCCTCTGTGTGTGTGTGTGCAAGCTTCTCTGTGTCAAGATTTCTTTGTGTAAAGATTTCTCTGCGTAAAAACTACTCTGTGTAAACGCTTCTGTGTGAAAAAGCTTTCCTGTGTAAACGCCTCCGTGCGTAAAGACTCCTCTGTGTAAACCTGTCTGTGCGTAAAAGCTCCATTGTGTAAAGGCTTGTGTAAAAGCTTCTGTGTGTACAAGTTTCTGTGTGTAAAAGTTTCTGTGTGTAAAGCTTCTGTGTGTAAAGGTTTCTGTGTGTAAAAGCTTCTGTGTATTAAAAAACCCTATGTAAAAGCTTCTGTGTAAAAAAGCTCCCCTTTGTCCTGTGTGTACAAGCTTCGCTGCGTAAAAGCTGCTCTATGTATATAAAAGTTCTGTGCGCCGTAAAATCTTCTGTTTGTATAAAACCTCCTGTGTGTGAACGCGTCTGTGTGTACAAGATTCTGTGTGCAAAAGCCGTGCTGTCTCGGTCCCTCCCACCGAAGATCTCCCCAAGCTATTTCCACGCTTTCCTCCCAGCAAAGCTCTCCCCAAACTATTTCCACGGTTTCCCCTCCGTCCAGCATGCTGTCTCGCTCCCTCCAGGCGAAGCTTTCCGCAAGCTATTTGCACTGTTCCCTCTCCGTCCCGCATGCTGGCTCGCTTCCTCCCAGCAAAGCTCTCCGCAAGCTATTTCCAACGTTTCCTGTCCGTCCAGCATGTCTCGCTCCCTGCCAGCGAAGCTCTCCACACGCTATTTGCACGTTATTTCCTCTCCGTCCAGCATGCTGTCGCGCTCCTTCCCAGCGAAGCTCAATGCAAGCTATTGCCACTGTTTTGTGTCCCGTCCAGCATGCTGTCTCGCTCCCTCCCAGCGAAGCTCTCCGCAAGCTATATTTGCACGGTTTCCTCTCCGTCCAGCGTGCTGTCTCGCTCCCTCCCAGCGAAGTTTCCCCAAGCTATTTCCACGGCTTCATCCCGTCCAGCATCCGGTCTCGCTCCCTCCCACAGCGGAGTTTCCCCAAGCTATTTCCACGGCTTCATCCCGTCCAGCATCCGGTCTCGCTCCTTCCCAGCGCAGTTTCCCCAAGCTATTTCCACGGCTTCATCCCGTCCAGCATCCGGTCTCGCTCCCTCCCAGCGAAGTTTCCCCAAGCTATTTTCCACGGTTTCCCGTCCAGCATACTGTCTCGCTCCCTCCCAGCGAAGTTTCCCTAAGCTATTTCCACGACTTCATCCCGTCCAGCATCCGGTCTCGCTCCCTCCCAGCGAAGTTTCCCCAAGCTATTTCCACGGCTTCATCCCGTCCAGCATCTGGTCTCGCTCCCTCCCAGCGAAGTTGCCCCAAGCGATTTCCACGGCTTCATCCCGTCGAGCATCCGGTCTCGCTCCCTCCAAGCGAAGTTTCCCCAAGATATTTCCCCAAGCTATTTCCACGGCTTCATCCCGTCCAGCATCCGGTCTCGCTCCCTCCCAGCGAAGTTTCCCCAAGCTATTTCCACGGTTTTGTCCCGTCCAGCATCCGGTCTATCTCGCTCTCGCTCCCTCCCAGCGAAGTTTCCCCAAGCTATTTCCACGGCTTCATCCCGTCCAGCATCCGGTCTCGCTCCCTCCCAGCGCAGTTTCCCCCAAGCTATTTCCACGGCTTCATCCCGTCCAGCATCCGGTCTCGCTCCCTCCCAGCGCAGTTTCCCCAAGCTATTTCCACGGCTTCATCCCGTCGAGCATCCGGTCTCGCTCCCTCCCAGCGCAGTTTCCCCAAGCTATTTCCACGGATTCATCCCGTCGAGCATCCGGTCTCGCTCCCTCCCAGCGAAGTTTCCCCAAGCTATTTCCACGGCTTCATCCCGTCGAGCATCCGGTCTCGCTCCCCCAGCGAAGTTTCCCCAAGCTATTTCCCCAAGCTATTTCCACGGCTTCATCCCGTCGAGCATCCGGTCTCGCTCCCTCCCCGCGCAGTTTCCCCA